TAATGATGGTTGAAGTGATCAGAAAGATTGATTTTCAGGCTGTACTGGTGGCTTGATATCTCTGTTATTAGAGGTCTTCACCACAGCTAAAATGTTTCCTCTTTTATGCCGATGTTCTGTTTTAGATCGGCAGCCAACATGCAAGACACAATGGTGAACCAACCAAGGACACACACAGATTTAACGAGAGTGTTCAGGTAAACTTGTAAAGCATATCTCCCCCTGAGCGTACAGTCCACATATTCACTAATAATGTGTTCTGTAAATAAAAGGTTCAAGATACCTTCAATAAGACATGCACAGAGAGGTGGTATTAGAAGGCGTTGGTTGAGGAAAAGGACGGACCTATAAATTACACACGTCTATGAGTGAATGAGTCAGTGTGTACGTGAGTGCTGAATACTCCAGTGGTGAGGTAAGTCTGTGATGACAGAGCGATGTCGCCTCCTCCACTCAGGAGACCATGCTGGAGCACGTCTGCCGTCAAAGTAACACCTCACTGTCAGCTGACAGCCATAACACACACACACACACACACACACACACACACATACCAGTGCTTTGTTTACTCTCTGCACTGCTCTTCTCTCCACAGAGGACAAGTCTGTTAATGTGGAGAGGAAGTTATTGGATTTTTCAACAATTTTGAAATTTGAAAATAATTAAAATTTTCTTGCAATGTGTTTATACATCGGATGACCACAGATTTTCTCGGGTTTAGACTTCGTTATTATCCATATTTGCTGCTATACAGAATTATTTTTCAACTACACAGTGATAGATAAAAAGGTTTTGGCAAGTGACTGTTTCTTTGTCAGGATATTTTTTGTAATATTCATTTCAGCCACAAGAGGCTGAAGTGCACCATGAACCAAGCAGCAACCTACGGGGCTGAAAATTGAAGCTAACACACATGTACCAAAAACTGCAGTTCCTTAAATGGCCACTTGAGGCTGACTCCAGAAGTGAGTAACTCCCCATAGACTCCCATGTCAAAATTTCCAACTTTACAGCAAAAATAAACCAAATGATGCCTGGTACAAAAAAAGTTTCTTGTCTCTACAGCTAATTTCCCCATTCACAACAACTGTGCAGGGGTGAATTTTATAAAATATGGTCACTTCTTGTGTCAGAAGAGAAAAGATTAACAGCTGAAAGTGGAACACAAGGCTTCAAAACGGGAGTTAACAAACCAGTGGCCATTCATGTTTTCTTCTAGGTGAGTTTTAATTCCTGCTGAATGTTATACTGAGAAGCTTGTGTAATAAGCTCAACTCAACTGATCAACTAATAAACATTTATAACAGTGTGTATTTGTCCACTGTTTTTATTAGACTAGTAGTAGAAGTAGTAGTACTGTACTGCAGTCACAATGCTGCTTTAGTTACCAACTTACAGCTCAAGAACTCACCAAAAGAGGTAAGGAGGTGTGTTTTCTCTTCTTGGTCTTAATAAAACTCACCTGGAAGAACATGAACGCTTTTAGTCCTGATTAGAACATGGGGTAGTCATGCTCCTCAACCTTGTGTGGCCAAAATAAGTATTACAACAATAAACAATAATAAAAATGATCCTGACAAGAAAAAAATTCTCCTGCCCAAACTTTTTTCACTCTTGTTCACAGATTATTAAAAAAAAAAAAGATCCTAGCAAAACTTTTTACCCCCACGTGTTTCACAGATGAAAAATAAAAAGCAACCAAGGAAAGATTATACTGTCAAATAAATTAATAAATAAATTAACCTGTAGAATTTTTTCCCCTCACTTTCCTCTTGGGGCTTCCGTACATATGCATAGGTGCTAAATGAGAGCATGATGTAAATCATACTGTATGTCGAAATCTTTCAGGTCTGTTAACACCCAAATTTCTATCAAACTACTTATCTTCTATCCACTCAGTATTACAAAGTAAGAGTAAAGTGACTTTCTCAGTAACATTTCAGTCACTCCTTGAGTGTTTAAACAGACTTATACTTCTCCCATGCTATGGTTTTAGATCTAACTCTACCTCCCTCACATGTGAACAAAACAGTGTCAGAGAAACACAGACTCTTATTCTGCCTCCCTATAATGCAGTTCTCTGAATTACAAAAGCCACATTAACGTCAAAGCAACAGTTTGGTAGTTAGGCAGATTCTTTTCAGTACCACCATGTCCTGATCGAGACCCAGGGCCGACTCTTCACAGCGGGAACACTGGCCCTCTCAGGTCACGGGCCCCGGCAAAGCTGCACTGATTTCCACCACTGTCTCCTCCTCTCTGCATTCCTGATGTGCAGTGGACAAACTACAGCCCACGCTGGGGACTCATTTTACTGTAGCAGTTTGGGGTAAATAGGTGAATTGTTACCAGAGGAAAATTGTGATGATGTGCTCTTGAACAAGCTCTTAACTGGATTCCATATATTAAGCGACAATGTTAACTACTTTTTTCTGTTTGATCAGCTGTAAACAGCATGGATGGATTACTGAACGGGCCTACTGGGCGCAGGCCAGCAGGCCCAAAGGTCAGGGGTGTCACTTAAATTACTGTTACATGTACTGAGCAAGAAAAGACTTGAAGTGACCACAAAGAGATGCAAAACAGTGAGTGTTTGTTTTCAGTACACATATTTAGTTCATAGACAGGTCGTGGATATAAGTGAGACTGAGATGTTACACCAGAAATGCAAAGATAAAGAATTATCTGAGAAGCCTTAAAGTCATTAAACCTTCCTTAGTTTGCTCTTTGAGGGAGTGCTTCTCTTCTTCTGCCACTAGGGGGAGTATTCTTTGTAGAAAAGAGAGCTGCAGCTGTCAGAGTGGAGTCTCTCATACAGTATAACAAGTTCAGAACAGGTCCAGTTCCTCTTAAGACTGATTTAATTTCAGTATAAGTCAAACACTGCTATGTGCCAGTAGCTTGACCCTAACTTGAACACGCAGCCTTTTGATCTGGAGTCAAACGTGCTACCATGGCACCACAAGGTCATGACCCCTGGAAAGATGACATTATGCCTTGCATTGAACCCAGGTACCCAGCAGTCCGGCCCTGAATGAATGGTGTCTGAAGAATATGATAGTAAAGTTCAGTCAGCGTCTTTTAGAGTGTACTTGTGTGCTCAAGAGCAAGAGACAAACACAACTGAGGGCATTGGGGGAAAAATATTTGAGCAGCGACTGTACAGTTTGGTAAAGGGGTTGCCCGTCTTGCACTCGTGTTCATGTTCACTCACTTGGACCACATTAGATAATAAAGAGTAAGAGCTGCAGGCAGGAAGTGAAGCTCCACAGAAAGGTTGCAGCTTTTATTAGTGAATTGGGTCATATTGTAGATCCAGCCTTAGGCCCAGCTCTGGTTTTGAACTGCAGTTCAATAATTCAGTCATATACATAGATAACATTAATAAAGGCTTTGCTATCAGTGCTAAGAGCCGCTCTCAGCTCAGCAGCTCCATCTGAGAAGATAACCGATGTATGACTTATGGAGCTCATCCAGCTTGTCTCATCTGCTCAAATTGAAATTCAACATTTCTGTATTTGTTGCATGTGCTGAATCATCCAGACTGTCACAGATACATTGAGTCCAAGTGTGGGAACATGCGCAAGACTTGTTGCAATAGGCAGTACCTTCAGGGTTTCCCAGACTTACAACTCCCAAACTCACAGATCTCCATTTGAAATGATCATCTAGTGTAATATCTAAGATGTTGTTGTGCTTTCACATCTGCCCTGTTTGGTTCGGTTCAATCGAACTCAAGTTCATTTCCCCCCCTAAATTCGGTTCGTTTGAGCAGGTGTGAACACAGCAATCACGCTCAAGTGTGCAACAAAACAACCAAACCGAGACCTTCTTGAAGAGGTGGCCTCAGTCCGGTTACAAACGAACTCTGGTGCGGTTCATATGTGGTGAGAAGGTGTTCCAACCTGGATCTGAACCAACTGCAGTCACATGACACACTGTTTGGGTTAAACATGAGCATGTTACAGTCCTGGAGGATTATTAATGTGCACCTCCTCCTGTACTGCCTTAATATGCACATTCAGCACATCCAATGCATCAAAACATTGTTTTCTAGTTGGAGCCGCGCCTCGTTTTCAAACTGTATGGTTTGACTAAAATGAACAATGACAGCAATATAGTCCACGATGAGCAGCGCTAAAATCAACCTGCGTAGTTGTCCCTCCATTGTGACATTAGAAAGTGTCACATTTATCTTGCAAGTGTACTCTTCTTCAACGTTTTGTTTACTTCCTGGATTTTTCCCACATGAAAATTCTGACCAATCAAGAGCAGCTTTCTCACACAAGGCATTTGATCTGGAGACCATTAACCAGCTCCAGGCAATTATGCAACTCTAGGCCCAAAATTAGTCCCTGATTCAGACCAAAGCAAGATGACTCTAGGTCTGAAAGCATCCTTAAACATCTGTGAATTCGATTTGACACATCATTCAAACCACCTGCCCCAGGTGAGGCTGGATTAACTGGGCAAAGCCGGCCCCAGAGGCTCAGATGCCCCAAATGGTGCCAGGTTGTCTGTGTGCAAATGCTTGAATTTGTGCTTAAACAAATGATCACGCACTAACTGTCAGACAGCTAACAGGAAGAGGAAGAGTAGTATTCCAGTGTGGGAACATACAGGTTGGTTTCTTACACTGAGCAAAATGGGTTGGGGTCACATGTGGAGGGCACCCTGTTGCAGGTTAATGCGGCCCTGGTTCCATGATTTTAAGGACTCCTGGAAGTCCTGGAATTAGATTAAACCCACTGATAATACTGTAAGCAGACGTGGTTTATATTGTATTATTGCAGTCATACTGACATTAATCATGGTGCCAAGATGAAGTTAATAAAGGTCTTTGTTTCATAAGGTTTCCATGACACCTTTCTGGTGTCGACCACGACTCTGCTCTGACAAAACAAGTGTTACGCAACTTTCTGTGATAAGAAAGCAAAGATATGTAAAGTGATTTCCGATGGGTTCGCCCTCAGCAACAACCTGCACTGCATTGGTCGGTGTTGGAAACATTCTTAGTGCCTGCTCTGACATGTGGGCGCACTCGCACTGTCAGTCCAGTTGTGCGCTCTCTCCCTCTCTCTCGCTGCTCAGGCTTTTTGTTGGGAAGTTTCTGTGTGAGTGAGTCAACACGGCACACAGGGAGGACGCCACCCAGCCCCGCCGCTGGATCCAATGCTGGGCTTCTCCTTTCTCCTCCGAGGACGCAGGACACGAAGACAACTTCACTTCGACTTCTTCAACAACAACTGGGGATCTAGTTTTGTAACCGTCGCGCTCCGGGGATGGTTATTGTCGCTTTGACGCGTATTTTTCCTCATTGGAGTTAACACAGCGGAGGTGAAATGAAAGTGACGGTGTGTTTCGGGAGGACCCGGGTGGTCGTTCCGTGTGGAGATGGGAATATAAAAGTGCTCAGTCTTATCGAACAAGCGGCCATGAGGTATAAGAAGGCGATCGCAAAGGTAAGAGCCGCACACAGCCCTGCTCCCGTGTGCCTTTGTAGCGTTTCCCCCAGCGGAGCAGCAGCACGCTGCATCCACACTGGGAGCCTCAACATGGCGCTTTTTCACGGGTTGAGGAAGAGGGAGAGAGTGGGCAGAGGAGAGCCAGTGGCTGCCCCTAAAATCGGAGCCAGTGGGGACCCCCAGGGGCCCCTGGTGGGGGAGTGGGAAACTTTTCATTGTTATCTCAAAGGTGATGGTCAGGAGTGATTACTTTCACTAGGGTAGGTCACTGTTTCTACACAAGGAATCTAAAGAGTTATGAAGCAGATGGGATCTGTGACTGCTCTCCTGTGTGTCTGTGAGCGTGTCCATGAGAAGGAAAGGAAAGACTCAAAATTCAAAAGTGGCTGTACTGGCAGGAAAGTGTGCAAGAGTGCGCTGAGTTCATCCAGTGAGTGTGTGAGCAGTGAGGATAAAATAAGCATAAGTGTACATTTACAACTTGTGCATTTGCACCCCGTCCAATGAAACCATAGCAGAGGCAGAGGACTTAAAATTTGACATAGTTTAAGACAATTAAACCATAAATTGATGCAAAAAAAGCAAAAATGGTGCATGAAACTTTACCAAAATGCCGAAAATTATGCTCAAAAATCTTTGGCAGATGACTCCCAAAGACCTAATTTAATTTGTGTCCAACTGATGTTGAAACATAACCTACACCCTTGGAAATAGGAACAGAATAACCTGTGTTTAAGTGTGTGAATACTGGCTACTACATACACATTATAAGTCCCAGTAGGGCTAGTTACTCCTGCATTTGCCCCCAAGTAAAACCATGAAAGTTTCAGAAGACATTAATGTTAAAATTTAAGTCATTCACTCCATAAATTGATGCAGAAAAGGCAAAAATGGTGCATAAAAAAGTGTTTTATGTTAAAAAATCTCTTATTTAAACTGTGTTGAAACACAACCTACACCCTTGGAAATAGGAACAAAATTACCCATGTTTAAGTGTGTCAATACTGCATTTTAAAACAGTAAAATCATAGTAATCTGGCTACTACATACACATTATAAGTCTCAGTAGGGATAGTAGTTATTCCTGCATTTGGCCATCCAGTAAAACCATTAAGGTAGCAGAGGACTTTAATTTTGGCATAATTTAAGACATTTACATCATAAATTGATGCAGAAAAGGCAAAAATGGTGCATAAAAAAGTGTTTTATGTTAAAAAATCTCTTATTTAAACTGTGTTGAAACACAACCTACACCCTTGGAAATAGGAACAAAATTACCCATGTTTAAGTGTGTCAATACTGCATTTTAAAACAGTAAAATCATAGTAATCTGGCTACTACATACACATTATAAGTCTCAGTAGGGATAGTAGTTATTCCTGCATTTGGCCATCCAGTAAAACCATTAAGGTAGCAGAGGACTTTAATTTTGGCATAATTTAAGACATTTACATCATAAATTGATGCAGAAAAGGCAAAAACGGTGCATTAAAATTCTCCAAAATGCAGAAAATTAAATGTTTTATGCTCAAAAATCTGTGGCACAGGACCCAAAAAACCCCTCATTTCATTTGTGTCCCCACTAATGTTGGAACACAGCCTACACCCTTGGAAATATGAACAAAAAACCTGGTTTAAATGTGTCAGGACTGCATTTTAAAACAGTTAAAACATAGTAATCTGGCTACTACATACACATTATAAGTCTCAGAGTTTCAGAAGTTTCAGAAGACATTAGTGTTAATATTCAAGTTATTCACTACTTATATTGATGCAGAAAGGGCAAAAATAATGCATAAAAGTTCACCAGAATGCAGAAAATAAAGTGTTTTATGCTCCGAAATCTCTGGCAGAGGACCACCAAACCCCTCATTCCACTTGTGTCCCCACCAATGTTGAAATAGGAACATAATAACTTGTGTTTAAGCTTGTCGATACTGCGTTTTTAAGCAGAAAAAAAAGAGTAAACTGGCTACTACATACACATTATAAGTCCCAGTAGGGCTGTAGTTATTCCTGAGTTAAATATACGTTTGTGTAGATTCATTGTTGGACATCTTTAATCTCTGTATGTGCTCTCATGTTTCCGCATCATGACCAAGTTGATCAGTTTTATCAAAAAGCAGTATTAGGCCAATGGACTGAGAGGAGAAACCCTGCCTTGCACTCATTGCTCTTTGCAATTACGCGCTGACGACAAAAGTTTTTAAGTTCATCCAAGTTTCATCTATCAAATGACGGAACGCATGACTGTGTGAAACCCCCATGCGAAATTTGAATGAGGCCTGACTAGGACACTGATTGCCTTCCCCCTTTGTGGGTTTCTAGTGGCTGCACTTTTAAAAGCCATTAAATGACTAATGAATGAATTAAAGTTTGGTACTGTTTCCATGGTTAGTGACTGCACTCTCTCCTCTCTGCCAGTGGGCGGTAATTACCAGTAGAGTCACGTTAATGCTGCAGCTTCTTCTCAAGGCCTTGGAATACGAAGGTGAAACCACGCCGGTTTGGCCAAGTTATTTCTTTTCATGTGTTTTAGCTGAGGGAAGACAGACGGAGAGAGAAAGACTTTGTGTCACAGGTTTCAGAAAGATCCAGAGTGAGAGTGTTGTGATGGCAGATGTGGGTTTGATTGAGCTCAATAAATGTTTTTCCTTCAGTACACTCTCAGAGACACTTCACACCTGTACGCTCAGCTCCATAGTGAGAGATGAAATACCTTTTAACTTCCTGGAGAAGATGAATCTCCAGTGATGCACCTCTGTAGTAGATTTTACCACTGAAGGCAAACAGTGACGGAGTAGGTCAACACTAACACTCATTCCTGAAGAGCACTTCCTCCTTACTAATCACACACATGCATGCACCCGCACACATTCACTCCTCTGTTTACCAGTGCTTGATGGTTTTCCATGGTTCAGCAGAACGGAGGCGACTGGCCCATTGATCCGTGCAGTGGCACTGTAAATGTAGACGTGAAGGCTTCCCCTCTGGAGAACACTTGGCTCTGGGTCAACATATCACAGGCCAGCCAGGACCTTTGGACTGCGGGAAGATGTAATCACACTCGAGTTGTATAATATTCCTGCAGCTGACAGCAACACTGAATCACTTTAACCCTTCGTGTAAATGTGCAAAAGTAGTCTTTTATGCACAAGCAGATGCTGTGGCATGCAGTATGTATTCATGCAGACAAGAGAATGTTTCACCTTTGCCATAAAGAAGTTCTTAAATCACATGTAATTCATGCGAAACAGCAGTCAGCTCAGGTGTTCCAGCTTTAGCATGAAGACGGGAAACAAAGGAAAGTGAAAGAGGCATCTGCCACAACTCAGAAGCCTCAGATTGCAAAGGTACACTCTGCAACTGAGGCGTTACAAAAAGTGGCACACAGAAGTGAAGGAACTGCTGGATCATATTTGTGTGAGATGTGGGCAGCATGAGAATAGGTTGAGTGTTTAGTGTGTACTTCCTCCTACTCCTTCTCTATGTGTAAGATTTATTGTTTTTAAGTCTCTATTAATTGAGTTTGTTGTATAGGTTATCGTCCATTTCAGTTATTGTTATTTTGTTATTGTCTTTTTATTGTCTGTTTTACATGATTGAAATAAATATCAATCGATCGTTAGCACGCACAGAAAATCCAAAGGCCTTGTTGAGTACAGCCCAGTGTGCTCTCTTAGGTTGATTTTATACCTGTAGTTTGATTTATAAGGTCAGGACAAAGGAGAAAAAAGGTGCGTTGTTTCCCTTCAGTTCTAGTCTGGTTTGTGTTCCCAAGAAACCATTGAGCCAACAGTTTGCGAGGCTTGGGTAGAGATGTACAGTACAGGCCAAAAGTTTGGACACACCTTCTCATTCAATGCGTTTTCTTTATTTTCATGACTATTTACATTGTAGATTCTCACTGAAGGCATCAAAACTATGAATGAACACATGTGGAGTTATGTACTTAACAAAAAAAGGTGAAATAACTGAAAACATGTTTTATATTCTAGTTTCTTCAAAATAGCCACCCTTTGCTCTGATTACTTCTTTGCACACTCTTGGCATTCTCTCCATGAGCTTCAAGAGGTAGTCACCTGAAATGGTTTTCCAACAGTCTTGAAGGAGTTCCCAGAGGTGTTTAGCACTTGTTGGCCCCTTTGCCTTCACTCTGCGGTCCAGCTCACCCCAAACCATCTCGATTGGGTTCAGGTCCGGTGACTGTGGAGGCCAGGTCATCTGCCGCAGCACTCCATCACTCTCCTTCTTGGTCAAATAGCCCTTACACAGCCTGGAGGTGTGTTTGGGGTCATTGTCCTGTTGAAAAATAAATGATCGTCCAACTAAACGCAAACCGGATGGGATGTCATGTCGCTGCAGGATGCTGTGGTAGCCATGCTGGTTCAGTGTGCCTTCAATTTTGAATAAATCCCCAACAGTGTCACCAGCAAAACACCCCCACACCATCACACCTCCTCCTCCATGCTTCACAGTGGGAACCAGGCATGTGGAATCCATCCGTTCACCTTTTCTGCGTCTCACAAAGACACGGCGGTTGGAACCAAAGATCTCAAATTTGGACTCATCAGACCAAAGCACAGATTTCCACTGGTCTAATGTCCATTCCTTGTGTTTCTTGGCCCAAACAAATCTCTTCTGCTTGTTGCCTCTCCTTAGCAGTGGTTTCCTAGCAGCTATTTGACCATGAAGGCCTGATTGGCGCAGTCTCCTCTTAACAGTTGTTCTAGAGATGGGTCTGCTGCTAGAACTCTGTGTGGCATTCATCTGGTCTCTGATCTGAGCTGCTGTTAACTTGCGATTTCTGAGGCTGGTGACTCTGATGAACTTATCCTCAGAAGCAGAGGTGACTCTTGGTCTTCCTTTCCTGGGTCGGTCCTCATGTGTGCCAGTTTCGTTGTAGCGCTTGATGGTTTTTGCGACTCCACTTGGGGACACATTTAAAGTTTTTGCAATTTTCCGGACTGACTGACCTTCATTTCTTAAAGTAATGA